CAGAACACAGTGTTAGTCCCACCGAATTTCTAATCGTGGAATCTCTTCATTCTGTGTGAATTTAACAAAGCCATTTCTTTTCTTTCCTAGTGGGGTGTATTTCCAAGGGACCACCATTGGCATGGCGCCAATCATGAGCATGTGTACTGCGGAGCAGTCCGGCGGCGTTGTCATGGTGAGTCTGGGGCCCTGAGGACCTGTCGGAATGCCCAGCACCTATGGGAAATCCCTTCCTCATGACTATCAGAAAGCCACCCCTTTGGTCAGATGTTGTGAAGGAAAGTCCTTTTCTTTAATGCTCTTTAGATTCCATCTTAAGGAGCCTTGGTAGCACAATGGTTAAGTACTTGACTGCTTATCAGAAGGTTGGTGGTTTGAACCCACCCTGCAGCTCCGTGGCAGAAAAGACCTAGGGATCCACTCCTCTAGAGGTTACGACCTACGAGACCCTATGGAACAGCTCTACTATGTCCCACAGCATTACAATGAGTTGCAATCAATTCAACTGCACCCAAAAGCAACAACAGACTTTGTCTTCTTCTTATTCTGGCTCCGTTTATGGTCCTATGTTCCCAAATATGTTAGGACCTGTTTATGTTAACACATCAAGGTGTACCCAAGAAAGATGGGCATGTAAAAACAGCTGAGTGCAGGCAAGTCTACCCCTTTCATGGAAAAACAGTTTCCACGGGACTGGACTTAAAGGATTTCGACCTGGGATTGCACCCATAGTGGTGATGAGTCAGGGCGTAGGGTTGCCTTTGCACCTCTGTCTGTCAGTGTTTTGGGGTGGACTGAGGTCTCACCAAGCTTCACTGGGAGAATGCTTTACTGGTGGTTCTGCTCCAGGCTCAACAGCCGAACGTCTGAGGTTTCTAAGTGTTTACCACCACAAATGCTGTGCATCCCTCCGGGCTCATGTACGTCTTATCTTTAAAATAATCTTATTCTTGGAAGACAGGAATTTGATTTATTGCTTTTACAGGGGTGATTTTGTCATATATGACCTGTATACATTTGTGAAAGGAAATAACACAGGGAGACTCTCTGAGACTTGCTTCTTATGGATTTTAGAGGGAGGTCGTTTTGGTAGGCAGCCCTACAGGGCACTCTAGTGCCACTCCCTCTGCTCATGAAAGGGTAGGGCATCCCACCCTGCACTGCCGCTGCTCTGAGAGCTCAGGGTCCTGTGTTCATCAGCCCCAGACATGGAGAACCCCTGGAGACCATTCATCCGTCCATGAAACAAACGAACCTTGCTGTCCAGGAAACCAGCTCCACCTGGTTTTTAAACTGAATGTTTGAGTGAATTCAATTTCATTAAGGGGCGGAATGAGTTATGTTCCACCAACGAGTGTCTTAACTTCGCATGTTGCTGATCTAATCATTTTAGGCAGTATGCTCCTCCAACGTTTTCATCTTCTCTGGACCCACATTTGGCAAGTGATGTAAACATGAGTGAAGTGTGTAGGCTGGAGAGGCTGTTGCAAGGGGTGCCCTCACTGGCTTCCTGTGCACCTGGGTGCTCAGGATGAGATCTCCACCAGGGAAGTCACTTGAAAGTTTGGTTTTGGTTGACGCCAGGTTCGTTTTAAGCTCAATCCCAACTGTGTCTTCACAGAGCAGACTGTAAAGTTTTAAGAGGGAACTGTTTTCTGATTCATGGTTCCAGGGTCCGTTGCTATGACTTTGCCACTTAAAATTGGTGGAACTATTTCC